ATATATATATATATATATATATATATATATATATATATATATATATATATGATGATGATGATGATAAGGCTTTTATTTTTATAAGGTAACAGTGACCGGAAATTATGTATTCTTCACTGCATGTGAGCTCTTGTTGTGAGACACTTGACCGGAAGTGAAGGTGTCTTGCCGTATCAGCTCTAACTTGACAGTTATGTGAAGATGGCGGCTCAGAGTCGCTCTCCGCCGCTGCTTCTGCTCGTCTCCTCACTGTGTCTCTGGAGCTCGGTAACCGTCTTAGGCCTGAAGGCGGCGAACTCCCTGGCCGAGTCGCCCAAACAACCCGATGCCAGAGCCGTCGACCATCCGGAAAATAATGCACCTGTCGCCGCTGCCGCCGGGGCCTCTCAGCCGCGAAGGGCGAGCGGCTGGAAGCTGGCGGAGGAGGCGGCCTGCCGGGAGGACCTGACCCGCCTGTGCCCCAAGCAGACCTGGTCAAACAACCTGGCCGTTCTGGAGTGCCTTCAGGACCGCAGAGAGGTAAGCGGCTGGTGGACGAGTCTGCGGGGATTCACACCGGGAGGTGATGATAAACATGACGGGCATCCGCTGGGTGTGTCGCCCCCGGTTGGTGGTTAAAAGAGACGCCGGCTGTCAACGTGACATCGAGGCAGAGGGGTCCACATACCACCCGCTGCTGGGTTCTGACCCGGACTAAACCGTAAACACACATTCACAAACCAAAAATCTCTGTTTTCCTCAAGAAAACACTCCCCAGCCTCCTAGAGAACAAACTATTCTCTGAAGAATAATATTCTTCATTACCTCTCTCTGCGTCTTAAATCAATTAACCCCCACCTCCAAGAAATAAATGATAATACAATAAGACCTCTGGGTTGTGAACAAGTAATAAGCCACTAAGTGGTTATAAAAAAGATACCGTGTTTTAGCACATTCTAGATGGTTTCACTTCATGTTTAATAGTTTAATAAACCACAAGGAAATATAATGAAGTACAAAAACAAATAAAAAAATGTGCATCCAAAGCTTTAGTTAAAATCTACTAGGCTGATTCTTATATGTATTTTATAGGACAGTATGATCTTAGAGAAGCAAATTATATAATTTTTAGATGATCTGAAATATTTAAAACATACCCAAAACAATCAATTTAGTAATTTTTGTTAAGAGTCAACCACAGATGGGTACAGGCTACTTTTGTGAAAATAACACATTACATTTTACCTTTCCTTTAAACTTGGTCATACTTTCCTGACACTAAGTAACATTTGTAGAACTGGCAGGGTGATTTATGTATGAGTTTATTGGTTACTTTCCTGGAATAGAGGTTGTTTTTGAGATGGCTCACTGGTTACTTTTTTAAAACATGCATTGATTGGTGATTCTTTTCCTATAACTTCGAAGTTACATTTGCAAGATTTAGAGAGCCTGATTGCTGGTTTCTAGCTGTAAAAACTGAAGCTGAGCAATGGCTCTTAATTGTTTTTCTGTAGGTCCAAAAGTAATTGGTTCAGTTTTGTTACTGTTCAGAAAGTTATGGCACATCCACACATTGATTTGTTCTGAGCATCTGTTCAGTGGCTGAATGGGCTCAGAGTCACCTGGTGACAATGTTATGTAGAGCTGAGCATCATCTGCTTAGTTATGGTAGCATGTAGATATTAAAGTTGAAGGGGTCCAGGATTGAACCTTGCTGTATTCTACATACCCAGGATCTTTTTGCTACAACATGACAGTGCTACCACCTGCACCCTGCAGCCAGAGTAATTCATAATAAATGGATATTTGTTAGATTTTAGCATTTGTATGCTTATTATGTCAGTATTTTGTCCAAAATGCTTATATCAATTCACAGACTCACAATGGTTTCAGTATGCTGGTACTGAATGGCAATAGGAGTATAGGTGGAGGAGGAAATGATCCAGAGCCATAAAAGACAGGCTGGTGGTTTAACACACCCATCTTTAGCAGTATATTAACTTCCAAAGAGTCATTTAATAGTTAATAATCTACAAAAAGTGGAAGAGTTTCTTCATTTTTGGTTCTTTTTTCATGGCGTTTTCCATACATGAAGTTTTAGGATCCTGGACTCTGCTCAGCTCTGTCGCTCGCAGTGTCTCTGCCTCAGAAATAATTATTGACTTAGTTAGATTGTAGCTGAGCAGTCATTCAGCTGTCAGGTGACTTAAAGGTCGAAGTCAAAACCAAACATCCTGCCAGCTTTTTTCTTACATGATTAAAAAAAAGTCGTTCCATATTTCTGCTCACGTGCCTTTTGACTGGACTATCATTGGATGGCCTCTGTTGTTTTGATCTTCTCTCTTATCGCTGTAAGCCGATGCTCATCAAACATGGCCGCCGCTTCCTTCTCCATTAGAGGTCAAAGGATTTGCAGTGACCGTTTGTTCCAACTGAGAAAAGCTTTAACATCTCAGCTTTTCCCATTCTTTCACATGGAAACATTATTGTTCCAGTATCTCTATAATTAAATGCATGTTTTCTTGTATACCCTCTGTTGCTTCCGCTGGATTTATTTACTGAGTTGATTGTCTAGATCAGGGGTCTGCGACCTGAAGCTCCAGAACCGAAACTGGACTTTCCACAATTTGGCTAAAATTGTCATAAAATTTGACATTTAAGATACTGAGTCCTGTAGTATTTGCGATGGAGCTTTTGTGGGTTTATTTATAGACTTTGGAGTGAATTTTATATAAGATCTGCACTGCATTTGTGTGTGAGTGAGGATAAGTGGCTTTTTCCTATAGTGCAGATATAAACTGCAAAGCACTTTATGAGCGTGTTTGGAAGGTAAGCACATTTTGAAGCTCTTTGTTTTGTAATGTGAAGTTTTAAAAACATCTGTTTGTTGGGAGGAAGAGGACTATAAAACTATTTCTCTCCATTGCACATTTACTCGAGGGTTGTTATTTTGTGGCAACACAAGGTCTCTGTTTTACTCGACATACAGAGAGAACTGTTACACTGTAAAAAATGTTCTATTCTCTTTCTTTTACAATAAGGCTGCAACTAACGATTGCTTTAGTAATCGATTATTCTCATCATTAATCGGATTAAAAAAGGCACATTATTTTTGTCTAACCACTGGCTTTTTAAAATACAATATTATAGATACATTAAAATATGCTAATAAACAATTCAATGCCTTTTTAAATTAGAAAAGAATTATTTTACTCTCTAAAATGCAGTAACATGGCTTTCCTAGATAGTTTGAAACGAAGGATGCATTTGCAGCTAAAACATGCTTGCAACATGTGAAAAGCTCAGGATTTTCTGTTAGACTTGACAGTACAATTTAGAGCTGATCTGGTGATTATTTCTTTGGATTAACCAAAAATAATTGGATAGAAAAACAATACTAATCAATTTGAAAAAGAATTTAAACTGTCTGAAGCTAAAACTCCCACTAGAACCTATTTACAAACAAAAAGTTTTGATTAATCATGATTAATCATGATTAATCCGATTAATCGTTTCACCCCTACTATACAATGAAGTGAAAATGACAATGATTGGTCACTTTTCTAAGAAACACATTTATAGAGAAGCTGTTTACATTCCTCTCCAACATGGCCGCATATCATGCTAATATTTATAGTAGCGATTTTTCTTTTTAAGAACAAAATAACAAAAAAGGGGATTTTTTTTAAGGCTTATATTAATCTCCATGTTGTCATTCCTTCTTCACCGTCACTCTGCAGCCATTAGCGATCCTGAGATAATTGCTCTGCCTTTAAACCCGCTGTGCCCTCCTGGAGAGACTAATGGCTCCTGTAAATCTGAGAGAGGAAAACCAGAATCAGCAGCAGAGTTTGAGTCGCTGCTCCACGATCTACTGGGACTCCTGACTGACGGCGTCAGAGGAGGTTCTGCTGCTCCAGTCAGGTTTCTGTCAGATCAACGCTTTACTCCGATTCCATCATGTCTCTCACCGTTTTGGCACCTGGCTATTGATTTTTTAATTTTTCATTCCAAGCATATCTTTCCCTCTATGAAACATTTTTAACTTAGAAATGGCTTCATATTTGGGAGATAATTAAGAAAGAAATCAATGTTGGCTGACCTTGATAGAGTTCTGGTTCTGTTTTCTTTATCTGGTCTGGGAAGTTGGAATTTCCTGCGGTCATTGAATGCAGCAGCTCCTGAATCGTTTTCATGGGTTTTTCTAAAACCACCCAGGGTTTAATTAGCTACTGAATAATTAAAGTTGATTAGAGAAACAGTGTGGTGAGTCTGGTTGCCTTGCAGTGTTGGGTCAGATTTTCCTGAGTGGCTGTGTCAGAGCCATGTTTACTGTGATGACAGAAATTAGACTGTGATAAATTATTTCTGATTTTGTTTTTTTAACTTTTACCAGCTGTTTAGCTACTTTTCACCAGCTAGACAGCAAAACAACAATCTTAATCCTGAGTTATATTTCTTTTTTGTGCTGATTTATGGAAGAATTGCCAATGACCATTTCCTTCTCTTTGACATCATAAAACTGAAACAAAAAAGCATAGAATTAACAAACTAACATTGCAAATTTGCTTGTTACATGCTTACTGCAAGCTAGCATAATAATCAATTCATAACTCAAACGTACAAATTTTCACCCAATTTTTATGCAGTTTTTTTCCTTCTCCAAAGTAAAACTTTACAGTTTAACACAGGAACATGGCGGCATCACATTCGGCCATCTTGGATTTTCTACTTCCTCTATTTGGTTTTCTTTTTCAGAGAAACCATAACAATGTTACCAAATAAACACTAACTAAATCCAATGTAACTTGCAAAAGAAAGAACATCGACCGTCTATTACACCTGTACAACTCAACCTGCAGTAAGAAAGTAAATCAATCAAATGCCGGCTTTTATAAAATGGAGGTTTGGAATAAGTTAATTAAATTAAATGTCACATTTTTTAGATAAGTTCCGTCTTTATGTGTGAACCTGTCTGAAAATAATTTTTTCTGCTTTTTGTCCAGGAAATTGAGCTCGCACCCGACTGCAACCATGTGAGTATTTTTCCTAAGTATGCAAACAGTTGATTTACACTTAATAATTAAAGGAAAAGCTGATTGGTCTGCAGATGTGCAGCTTAACCAATCACAACTTTGGATCTATTTGAGGAACCATTGTTGCAGTTTGACTCATTTATATCAATTTAATCCAATCTGTTGTTTTGATGCATTAGATGTAAATACATTATATTTACATCTAATTATGTATTTAAATATCCATTTGAGTAAATATTTACTGAATTGTGCAGTAATGAGTTTGTTTTAAGGTTAGCAGATGGAGTTAAGTGTCCCGCCCTGGAAAGTTTCTTAATGTTGAGATGTTCTCACATCTTAATCGTAGCTTTTCGTTTCGTTTCTCGTGAGTTTTTAATCTTTTTTGCCCTTATTCTGCTCAGCTTCTGTGGAATTACAAACTGAACCTGACCACTGATCCAAAGTTTGAGTCTGTGGCCACGGAGGTCTGCCGGAGCACCATCGCTGAGGTTTGTAGCGTGTTTTTACGAGGCATTTCCTGCCCTGATTCTTTTAGTTTACTCTTCTCATCCCCCTCACCTGCAGATAAAGGAGTGCAATGAGGAGGAGCGAGGGCGCGGATACCTGGTGTCCTGCCTGGTGGATCACAGAGGCAACATCAGCGAGTACCAGTGCAACCAGTACATCACCAAGATCACCGGCATCATCTTCAGCGACTACAGACTCATCTGTGGCTTCATGGATAAATGCAAAGAGGATATAAACAGCCTGCGCTGCGGCAGCATCAACGTAGGACAAAAGGTGAGAGGGAGTGTGTGTCCAGTGCTTTACACTGTAAATATTAACCAAAATAAAGGAAATTTATTTACATTTTTCAATGTAGATAATCTGAAAATCTGTTTTTCTCAAAACTAAAGTTGGTACGTCAGATTATTTTTGTTCCTTTAGTTGAGGTCAGTTTAATGAGGCCACAGTCATTCAGGGTCGATACTGCTGCTTGTTTGGTTAAGGGGTGTCCAAAGTGCGGTCCGGGGGCCATTTGTGGCCCTTACGCTGTCTTTGTGCGGCCCCCAACTGCAATTAAGGAATGATGCCTTTCCAGCACAGGAGGTTTTTTTTTATTTATTTGTAATCAGGGTAAAATTATTATTGCCAATGAAAAATGTTACATACAACACACATCTTTTTATAACCAAGCTTTTATAAACAAAAATGTTTATCCAGAAACTTTTTCTAAAATGTCGACTTTGCTGAACCCAAATCAGTTCCTTCTAATTTATTAAACTTGGCTAAACATAGCAAACGTTTTGAAAGAAAGTGACCCAAATCGTGATATTATACTGAAAATAAATTTGTTCAATTTAGCAAATCCTTTATTTTAATAATATAAACACACAAAAAAATTTACTTATAAATCTACAATGAACAACATTTCTGTCTTCTTCCAAAAAAAAAAAAACTACTTTACTTGGTTTTAGGGTTTTTCCTGAATGCTTCTGACTCAATGATTTTGGCCCATGTCACAGATAGTTTAGACACCCCTGAATGGGGCATTTTCAAGGTTTGGAAAGTTCTTGATTTCTGTATAAAATCCTTGAAATGTCTTCATATTCAAACTGTGCAGCTTTGTGTTAAAGTGTAATCTGTTGTTTGATTAAAAGCCTAAATTTGTTAAACATTAATTACAGCTGAAACCAGATATTTTAATACACCTAATAAAAAAACTTCTGAGCTTTTCTTGTTTTAAGTAAGTTAGAATTATCAAAATTACTTGTATTTGCTAAAAGACAGAAAACTTAGCAGGAACATTTTTTATTTTATTTTTGAATATTTAATATTCCTAATGGCTTAATGATCTGTGGAATTAAAATAAAGATTGTCTTAAATTAAACACAATTACTGTTGTGTTTAATCTCCCAATTACTAGAAATGGGAGATTTTTTTTCTGTTAAATTAGAGTGTTATTCATTTCAAAACCATTTTAAAATGTTTTTATATTTTAGTATTTCTTGTTCTGGGTTCGATTCCCGGCCCCGGTCTTCCCTTGCATGTTCTCCCTGTGCATGCGTGGGTTTTCTCCGGGTACTCCGGTTTCCTCCCACAGTCCAAAAACATTACTGTCAGGTTAATTGGCCTCTCCAAACTGTCCCTAGGTGTGAGTGTGTGTGCATGGTTATTTGTCTCTGTGTTGCCCTGCGACAGACTGGTGGCCTGTCCAGGGTGAACCCGCCTCTCGCCAGGAACGTTAGCTGGAGAGGCACCAGCACCTCCCGACCCCACTAAGGGACAAGGGTGTAAAGAAAATGGATGGAGGTTCCTGCTGTAGAATACTATCACAAGACATTAATAATAATACTAGTAATAAATTATATCTTTTAACACTGTATTGTATTGTTTTTACCTCCAAAGTGCTAAACCTACCTTGAAAATGCTTGAAAAGTTGTTTAACTTTCCTGCATCTCTCCACAGGATGTGCACTCGCAGGGTGAGGTGATCGCCTGCCTGGAGAGGGCGCTGGTGAGGCAGGCGGAGCAGCAGGAGCGAGTCCATCCGATCAAAGAAGAGTGTCAGAAAGCGATCCTGCGGGTGGCGGAGCTGTCGTCTGATGACTTTCACCTCGACAGGCACCTTTTCTTCGCCTGCCGAGATGACCGGGAGAGGTTCTGCCAGAACGTACGGAGACTCTCAGAGAACAACCAGTGGAAATTAATCAAGTTTTCACTTTTAAAACAGTAAATTTCTATTTCTGCACAGGTCCAGGCAGGAGAAGGGAAGGTCTACAAGTGTCTGTTCAACCATAAGTTTGAGGAAGCCATGTCCGAAAAGGTATTCAGAGAGTCGGTGGATTGTTGCTGACTGGGGATGCAAACAATTAATGGCTTATTAGATAAAAATTTGTTCCAACTGATCAACTAATAATGTCCGCTTAGATCACAGGAGTCCAAAGTTGGTCCTGGAGGGCCGGCATCCTGCGTGTTTTAGTTCTCTCTCTGGTTCAACGCACCTGGATCAAATAATGGCTCATTAGAAGGCCAAAGGATAACATTGACTTGCTGAGGAGGTTGTTACCACCACCAGGGAGAGAACTAAAACATGCAGGATGCCGGGCCTCCAGGACCGACTTTGGACACCATTTAGACTTTATAAATAAACACTCAAAAAGCTCCTTAACGCATAGCTCTCATGCGACGTCACACTTCCAGGAATTTTGCAACTGACAGCCATCTTGGTAGGCAGTTGCTATGGAGTTGCTATGACAACAATAAACAAGAGAAAAGCTTAGAACTATTTCTTGCCTTGTTCAATAAGTAAATTACAACTACTTGAGTTCTCTACCCACATCTGTGTAATACTAAGATAAATATCAGTGATAATTATTGTAGTACTTACTGCCAAAAAATACTGCCGAAATAGCAAAATTAGCTTCACTAATGTAGCTTTGATCTGTTAGCGAAGACGGACATGTAGCTTGTGTGTTTGTTACTACATGAACTTATTCTGCCAGTCACCAGATCCTTGTTATTCACGAGAAGAGTTTGTACATCTTTTACAAATTCGTTGAAACATTGTTTATATCCACAGATTTCAGGCTATGAAGCTCCTCCATTTTGTAAACCTCTTCCTGTTCACTAAGTAGTGAACTATGTCATTATGAGGAGTTCAGAAAATTATGATTGTGTGTTTATAATGCGTTTAACACAAACGCTTACTAATCGATAACTTTGCTGACCCATACGTCATGAATCATACTGTTGTCCTCATGTTCCTCTCACCAGTGCAGAGACGCCCTGACGACCCGACAGAAGCTGATCTCCCAGGATTACAGAGTCAGCTACTCTTTGGCGAAAGCCTGCAAGCTGGACCTGAGGAAGCAGCGCTGCAGCCTGGATAGCAGCCTGCCGCGCGCCCGCGAGGCGCGGCTGTCCTACCTGCTGCTGTGCCTGGAGGCTGCGGTGCACCGAGGTGAGAGCATGACGACCCGACAGCTTCCCCTCCTTCGCTGTTTGACTCCATCCAGCTGTTTCCTGGATGGAGAATCCCACAGTGTGATCAGGGATCATACGGATGCTTGAAATCCTTGAAAATTCTTCAATTTCAATTAAAAAGTGCTTGATTTCTGTACCAGGTCCTTGAAAGTGCTTCATATTCAGACCTTGCATTTTTGTAATAAAGGTCAATCTAACGCAAATTTTAAAAGTATTTACAGTTGAAACCAGATATTTATAGTAATTAAAAGGCAAATACACATTTTTGTTCCAACTGTCAGACCTGATGTGTTTTGTTTTAGGTCAGATAGAATCACCAAATTTATTTCCATTTGCTAAATCGGTGTTTCCCAACCCTGGTCTTCAAGGCACACTGCCCTGCATGTTTTAGGTATTTCCTTACTTCAGTCCAGCTGATTTCAATCGATGACTGATTAACAGGCGTTTGCTGAACTGCAGTCAGTTGAATTAGGCACATGAAAGCAGGGAAACCTCTAAAACATGTAGGACAGTGAGCCTTGAGGACCAGGGTTGGGAAACACTGCGCTAAATGCAAACAGAAATAAATATCAGCAGCAGGACATTCAAACAACGCAAACAACCAGATCTATTGAATTGCTTCTAGATAAATATATTGATGCTTTTTTCCTCCTTAAATAACTTTTTTCTCTAACTTTAAGATGTTTTTTTCTGTTAAAATTATTTTCTAATGTTATGATCATATTTCTCAAAAGAATAATTATCTTAGCCTGACCCTAATACTCCATAGTACAACTCACAGAAGGGACGTCCGAAATAAGAGCTACTTTTTGAAAATATTTTATGTAATTTGTAAAAGTGAGGCAGAAAATATGATATTTTATGAGTAAACCAGGTGAAAATGGAAACATTCAAATAGTTTTCTAGGCGCTGTGTCTCTAATGGGTGGAAATAAGCTCAACCTGAAAAACATCGTCTCTCTGCGTGTTTTGGTTGTTTTTATCAGGATATATT